CATGTATATATACTAGAGGCCAGATGCACAAAATTCGTGCAAGGGGCTCAGCTTTCAAAGCTGCAGAGGCTTCCCTCAGCCCTCACAGGCCCAGCTTTGTCCAGAAGGACCTCCAGCTGTCTGGTCTAATTAGCATATTATGCTTTTTTTTTATTATTATAGATAAGGTTTTGGTTGATTACCTCCCACTATATGATTTCTTACATATATTTTTAGAAAAAACTTTATTATATGTTTAGAAATGTAACTAAACATTTTCATAAATAAACCATAAAATATATGCAAATGGATGTTTTTCCCTCCAAAGGACTTTAGAGCAGTGCTTCTCAACTGGTGGTGATCTCGTGAGTAAATGCCAAATATGCTATTTAGCACAAGGCACCCCACCTGTAGCCCCAATAAAGAATTGTCAATAGTGCTGAGATTGAGAAATCTTTCCTTAGATGATATACCATGTTCCTGTATACCAATTACTAAAATACTCTGAATTATAGGCCATTACTAAAATATTCTGAATTATAGTATTTCAGAATTGCCTATTTTAATATGCTCATTGTGTCAAATCCTCATTCCTTGTGAGGCATATTTTATTTTGGACTAATTAAGACTCATTGGGACAATATAGTTCATTTATGAAATTTAGTAAAGCATGCAGGCAGATATTTACTGAGACTTGTATAACTATGCACAAAATTATTTATCTCCAATCCAGAATTTGGTTTAATTTAGAAAGTGAAAGGCTTCTCCAGCCTTGGCCAGTGTGGTTCAGTTGGTTGGGTGTTGTCCTGTGCACTGAAAGGTTGCTGGTTCAATTCCACACGCCTACGTTGTGGTTTAGATCCCCACAGGAGGCAGCAGATCTCCCATTAATGTTTCTCTCATCTTTCTCTCTCCTTTTCCCTTCCTCTCTCTAAAAATAAGAGAGGGGGAAAAAAAACTTAAGAAAAGAAAATGGAAGACTTAAACTTTCCTTTTGTATCATCCTATATAATAAAACCGGTTGCTATGATGTGCACTGACCACCAGTGGGCAGACACTCAATGCCCCCTGGTTGTCAGTGCACTCCCAAAGGAGGAGCCCTGCTCAGCTAGAAGCCGTGCTCACAGCTGGCTACTGCAGCAGCGGTGGCAGGAGCCTCTCCCGCCACTGCTACAGGCAGGTGGTAAAAAGTGAGGGGTCCTGGACTGCAAGAGCCCTGGATTGCAAGAGGGATGTCTGACTGCCGGCTTAGGCGGACATCATCAGAGAGGTCCTGGACTGTGAGAAGTGCAGACCGGGCTGAGGACCCCCCATACCCCAAATGTACAAATGTTGTGTACCAGGCCTCTAATATTTAAAGGAATTTATTTATTGACAAGCACTCTTTAAGGACAGACTTCAAAAACTTGACTCTCACCTAACACACATTTGAGAGAAGAGGATCAAGAACAACTTTCTTTGTAAATGGTTACTTGTCAACTCAGAAATTAGGAGAAGAAGATCTAAAAAATGTGATAGATGAGCATGTAGCAGAAACTCTCACTCACCCAAAAAATGTCAGTTTGAAGAATATATTAGTAAATATTTCATGTTTTTCTGGATGTATTATTTTTATTTAAATTGAGCATTTGCTGTCCTCGCTAGTTTGATTCAGTGGATAGAGCATCGGCCTGCGAATTGAAGGATCCTGGGTTTGATTCTGGTCAAGAACATATGCTTGGGTGGAGGGCTCGATCCCCAGTAGGAGATGTGCAGAAGGCAACCAGTCGATCATTCTCTCTCATCATTGATGTTTCTGTCTGATTCTCCCTCTCCCTTTCTTTCTGAAATCAACCAAAATATATATTTTAAAATAAATTAAAAGAAATAAAAAATAAATTGAGGCTCTGACATTTAATAGAAAACAGATCTTTTATTTTCAAACTAGGGGCTCAGTGCATGAATTCATGCATCTTGAAAGGAACTCTGGGCTGCGAGGCTGCAATGGGCACAGGGGCGGTCTCGGCCCATCCTCCGTGCCCCTGTCCCGCACCTTCCACTGCAGCCCCTAGTCCCCAATTTGCTGGCAGCCCTGCTCCTGCTGCCACTGCTCCTACATGTTAATGGTGCCAGCCCCACTGGCACACGCTGACAGTGTGCAGTGATTGGGGCCAGTGCTGGCAGCGGGTGTAAATGGTGGCTCCGGTGCTGGCAGCAGGTGTTAGTGGGCTGGCACCAGCAGCAAGTGCAAGCACCAGGCGGGACGGCAGCATACAGAAGCAAAGAATTTTCAGCAACCACTAGAGGCTTGCCCCGTTGACAGCAACTGGCGCCTCACCTTGGTCTGGTACCCGCACTCATCTACTTCACCATCTCCTCAGAGCCAATGACCACCATGTTTTGTGTGCGCCCCCTGGTGTTCAGCACATGTCATAGCGACTGGTGGGTTTTCCCACTGTTTGATCTATTTGCATATTAGAGTTTTAGATAGATAGATAGATAGATAGATAGATAGATAGATAGATAGATAATCCAGGACTACAATCCTTACCTGCAGTTCTAAAATTCTAAACATTCTGAAAACTAAAGATTTTTATAACTCAGCTATTGGCAAAAACCTGACCTACACTGATGTGAAGCTATTTATATTTTTAATTTACCCATATAGTGTGAATATTCATTTCAGAACTATTAATGTGATGTTATTTGAGGCCTTATTAATATATACAATATTATTTTCCTTATAAAATTCTGAAAATTTTTAAGTTCCAAATTATCAACTTTGAAACAAAGTGGAATTTCTTTCTTTTTTTTTTGTTAAATATATTTTATTGATTTTTTACAGAGAGGAAGAGAGAGGGATAGAGAGCTAGAAACATTGATGAGAGAGAAACATCCATCAGCTGCCTCTTGCACATCCCCTAGTGGGGATGTGCCTGCAACCAAGGTACATACCCTTGACCGGAATGGAACCTGGGACCCTTCAGTCTGCAGGCCGACGCTCTATCCAATGAGCCAAACCAGTTTCGGCAGGAATTTCAATTATAGGTGTTTTTAAGTAATCTTACTTGTCCTCATTTATTTCCTTTAAAAATTCAACCTTTTAAAAATAATTATGGAAGCAGCTGAGTGTTTTATCATTTACCAGTGGAACTAAAGCATGTTGAAAATAAAATACTAATTTTTAAAGTCACCATTAGAGGGACTTTCAGATTTTTTATTCAATTAGGAAAGAAATCAGCAAAATTAAGGTGATAGCAATGTTAAAAGTGGGAAGAAGACATGATCAAGCAAATGATGGATAATGTATATATTTCCAATATTGCTATGAAACTGTTGACTATCACATGATAATCTTTTAAAATATAGATTGAAATTAGATGTCATTCTTCCTCAAAATCTGGTAAGCCTAAATGTAACCAAGCGTACCAAAATAGCCATTTTCATGGTTTTCTTATGGGAAAAATTTTTAAACAAAATCCAAAAGCTCTGACAGCTATTATATCCTATAGCCAAAATGATTTTACTTCCTGAAGTGATCCTAAGAAGATATATAGCATGCATCACAAAAATAAATATATGAATCCCCATCACTGCTTTAGTCTATTAAAAAACTACCAAAATATCCATGAGTAACAATTGGTGAAATAAGTTATATATCCCTAAAATGGAATATACACCAAGTGGCCAGATTATTATGATCTCTGAATGCATAATAATCTGGCCACTCAGTGTGTGTGTGTGTGTGTGTGTGTGTGTGTGTGTGTGTGTGTGTGTGTGTATTAGAGGTCTGGTGCATGAATTCATGCATGGGTGGGGTCTGGCCAGGGGAAGGGGACATGGGCAGTTGGTGCTGACCTGCCTGTTGGTCAAACTCCTGGTTGAAGGGACAATTTGCATATTAGCCTTTTATATATAGGATATACACTGAGTGGCCAGTTTATTATGCATTCAGAGATCATAATAATCTGGCCATTCAGTGTACATCATATTATAAAAAAATATATATACTAGCATAAAAATATTCAAAATCTATTTTATCTAAAAAATGCAGTTTTAACTCTAGAAAATAGTATTTACAGTTTGCTCCCTATCCTTTTTTTCTGTACTTTCAAATTTTCTACAGTAAATATATTCAGAATAGGAAGTTATTAATATTTTATCTTTTCTAAGTTATATATATGTCTAAAATTAATTGGAAAAAATTACAAATGAAGGAAATGTTACTGATAAATTTTAAGACATTTTATCACTGATTACCTTTCAAAAAAAAAAAAAGGAGTTGATGCTACCTATATAGATAAATAGAAGTTAAGGCAGTTTGTTTTGTGACATTTATCCAATCATGAAAATATTTTAGCAAAAATATTACCACTTTTTGAGAAGTATTATATTTCTTTTTCAGAATTTTAGCCTTTTTTCTCCTTGTCTGAAATTCTGAAATCTGGTGGGTACCTGATTATTATTTCAGTAAAATGGGGAATACAATTTTCTCCCTAGATTTCTCATTTCAAATATTAGCAAAGAGGGTGGAATTTTTACCTCTTATTCATGGTGTCCAGCTCTCAACATCTTAACCTGGCAGGAGGACCAAACGAGCTGTAAATCTTACCACCCAGACCACACTTGATTATTGTATGATGGGAAAATTAAACGTGAATAAAACAGCTACAGCATTAGGGTGTTCTTGGAAGAATAAACACAAGTTGGAAGTCTTATGTGGATAGTGCAAAGTACAGGAAGGCAATCAATCATGTAAACATCAAGTGAAAGGTTGGTGAGGAAGCCATTGGAGTCTGTCAGGCGCTCCCTGCAATAAATGGCTCATTCCATTTCTTTCCCTTTCACTCAGTTTAGAAAAGTGCATTCTGTGAAATCTAACAGATCTCAAAATATTTTTTGAGTTCTTAGTCCTATGTAAAGACACATTTTGCACAGAATGAGCTCAAACCATTAAAAGAGGATTTTTAGTAGGTATAAAATGGACACAAATTTTGTCATAGTGCATATTTCCATGACTGTTTTCCTCCTCCCACAAACAGGAAACAGTTAAGGCTGCAATAATGGAGGAGCAAAAGCGCAGTGAAAAGGCTGTGGAAGAGGCAGTAAAAAGATCACGAGAAGAATTGATCGAGTACATCAAAGAACAGAAAAGGGTAAGTTTCTCCTGAAAGGTTCTGATTTGTGCTTCTATAAACAGAAGCAGGCACTTCTATACATATTTAAAATGTCCTTTGTCATGTAATTTAGAAATATCTATGATTATTTTATGATACAATGATATATTCAAATAGTTCTATCTCTAGACATAAATCTCATCTGTCAACAAAAAAGCAACCCAATAATTTCTTGACACCAAAGAGGTAATATGCAAATTGAACATCACTCCAACACACAAAATGGCTGCCCCCATGTGGACACAAGATGGCCGCCACAAGATGGCCAGCAGAGGAAGGCAGTTGTGGGCAATCAGGCCAGAGGGGAGAGCAGTTGCAGGGAAACAGCCCTGCAGGGGAGGGCAGTTAGGGGTGAGCAGGCCTGCAGGGGAGGGAAATTGGGGATGACCTGGCTGGCAGGGGAGAGCAGTTAGGGGTGACCAGGATGGCAGGAGAGGCAGTTGAGGGTGACCAGGCCTGCAGGGGAGGGCAGTTGGGGGCAACCAGGCCTGCAAGAGAGGGCAGTTGGGGGGGACCAGGCCTGCAGGGAAGGGCAGTTGGGGGCAACCATGCCAGCAGTGGAGAGCAGTTAGGAGTGACGAGGCTAGCATGGGAGGGCCATTAAGGGGTGACTGGGCTGGCAGGGGACAGCCGTTGTGGGGTACCAGGCCTGCAGGGGAGGGCAGATGGGGGCACCAGGCCTGAAAGGGAGGGTGGTTGAGGTCAATCATGCCAGCAGAGGAGTTGTTTGGGGGTGAACAGGCTGGCAGGCAGAAACGGGTAGGGGCAATCAGGCAGGCAGGCAGGGAAGTGGTTGGAAGCTAGCAGTCCTGAATTGTGAAGGGATGTCCAACTGCCCGTTTAAGCCTGATCTCATTGGGATTGGGCCTAAACGGGCAGTCGGACATCCCTTGAGGGGTCCCAGATTGGAAAGGGTGCAGGCTGGACTGAGTAGCATCCTCCCTGGTGTATGAAATTCGTGCATGAGGGTGTGAGAGGATATCTAATTGAGATTTTGATTTGCATTTCCCCAGTATTAGTGATGTTGAACATCTTTTCATGTGTCTGTTAGCCAACATTTGTACCCATTTTTTAATTGGATTGTTTGTTTGTTTTGTTGTTGAGTTGTATGAATTCCTTGTATAGTTTGTTTATTAACCTCTTTTCAGATGTATAATTTTCAAATATATTTTCCCATTCACTAGGTTGCCTATCATTTTGTTGATGCTTTCCTTTGCTTATTATTTTGATGTAGTCATTTATTTCTGCTTATGATTCCCTTACTGTTGGAGTCAAATCTACAAATGACACAGTAAGACTGGTATCAAGGAGCTTTATCACACATGCTTTCTTCTATGAAATACAGAGAAGGAAAGTTTTAATATATTCTTATTATTTATGATTATTTATGATGTAAGATAGTGGTTTAATTTCATTTTTTAGCATATGGCTATTCAGTTTTCCCAACACCATTCTTTGAAAATACTTCACTTTCTTTATTGTATGTTATTGGATCTTTTGCTATAAATCAGTTGTCTATATTCGTGTGGGTCTATTATTGTATTATTTATTTGTGTTACAATTGTAAGCCTCCTTTTGCCCATCTCATATGTTCATCAGAAATATTGTCTTGTAATTCTTCTTTTGTTTTTTTTTTCTTCTCATTTTTGGTATCAGAGTAATGTTGACCATATAAAAAGAATAAGTAAGCATTCCCTTCTCTTTATTTTTTGGAAGAGTTGAGAAAGATTGGTATTAAATCTTTGATTGCTTAATGGAATTCACCAATGAAGCAGTCTGGTTCTGGACTTTTGTTTTCTGGGAGGTTTTTTTTATTATTATTACTGTTTTAAACTACTTACTAGTTATTGTTCTATTCATATTTTCTATTTCATGTTTCAGTCTAGGAAGGTTGTGTGATTCTGAGAATTTATGTTCTCTAAGTTTTCTCATTTGAAGGCTTATAGCTGTTTGTAGAAGTCAGCTGAGATGCTTTATATTTCTGTAGTATCTGTTGTAACTACTCTTGTTTCTGATTTTTATTTATTTGAAATTTCTCTCTGTTTCTTAGTGAGTCTAGCTAAAGGTTGTCAATTTTGTTTACCTTTTCAAAATACAAGTTCTTAATTTTATTGATTTTTTCCCCTGTCATATATTAGTCTCTATTTTATTTATTTCCTTTGATTTCTTCCTTGAACCAATTGTTTTTCAGTAGCATATTGTTAATCTCCATCTACTTGTGATTTTTCCAGTTCTCTTTTTGTAGTTGATTTGTATTTTCTGACCATTGTCATTACAAAAGATACTTGATATGATTTCAGTCTTCTTAACTTTATTGAAAGTTGTTTTATTTTAGCATATGGCCTTTCCTTGAGAATGTTCTGTGTGCATTTGAGAAAATTGTTTATTCTGATGTTTTTTAATAGAATGTTCTGTATATATCTATTAAGTTCATTTGGTTTAATTTGTTATTTAAGATTGAGTTTTCCTTTTATACTTTGTCTGGATTATATAAATGCTGTTAAAGTCCCATCTTATTATTGTGTTGCTGTCAATTCCTATCTTGTCTTTTAATATCTTTTAATAATTGCTTTATATATCTTAATGCTTCCATGTTGGATGCATTGTATTAATAAATAGGCCTTCCTGATGGATTGTCACCTTTATCATTATATAATATCCATGTTCATCTTTTGTTACCTTTAACTTGAAGTCTATTTTGTCTTTGATAAGGATATCTGTACTCATTTTCTTTTGGCTAACATATGCTTGGAGGATCATCTTTTATCCATTCACTTTAAGCCTGCTTGTCTTTAAAGCTGAAATGTGTCTCTTGAAGGCAGCATATAGTTGGGTATTATTTTATAAACTATCTAAGCACCTCCAATCCAGGTACATGCCCTTGACTAGTATTTGAACCAGAGACCCTTTGGTGTGCGAGCTGACATCCTATCCACTGAGAAACACCGGCCATAGCACAATTAACAAGTTTTTAATCAGTTACCCTCCTTGTAAATATTTGAATTACACTTAGAATTAGAATTAAGACTGTACTAGAACTAAAATTAGAATTATATTGAAAAAATGTTTTACTTTTAAATGCCACTTACCAGTTTGTTTGTTTTTCTATCAAATAAATAGGGATGTCACCAATCCTTACAAGTACACACTATTCATTAGGTCTACATATCTTAGAGAGTTCAAAGTAGCTACCTGTATATGAATTAATTAATTGAATTATAATTTATACTCAAATTGCATTCTAATTTTTTTAGTAAGTTGAAGGCATGATACTTGTACTGTTAGCTAAATCATAATAATAACCAAAAATTAGTATCTAATCAAAACATAAATCAAGAACTTTTTAAATGATCAACCAAAGAATAATTCAAATTAATGATGGATCAATTTCAGTGATAAAAGTTCCTTTCTTCTAAGTACTGTATTCTATATGATAGGTTTTTTAAAATCCCTCTGTAAAACCTTATATCCTAGGGGAGAAAATTACATTAATACACAAATTTAGTATGAAATTAAAAAGCTAGTATTTTGCAGCTTTGGCTCTCATAAGTTTTCCATATCATTTAATGGAAAATGAATAATTCCTTAATGAATTTAGAATGTACTAATATAATCTGTACAATACAGAAGAAAAGTTTAACACAAAAATCTATAAAATTTTTAAAATATATTTAATTTTTTTGAGAATCATATAGGTACCTGCAAGTGTACCTATGTTTGGTTTCAAACTCCCTTGAATATTATAACATCCAGATAAGAAAGGAATTGCAAACTATAACACTATATGGATCAAATATGGCTTGCTGCTTATTTTTTATAAATAAATTTTGATTGAAATAGCCACATCCATTCATTTATGCATTGTTCTTTGGCTGGTTTCATGCTATGATAGCAGAGTGAGTAGTTGAGAGAGACCATTGGGCCCACAGCCCTTTAAACTATTTAAAAATATATATATATATATATATATATATATATATATATATATATTTTTTTTTTTTAATATGCCTCATTACAAGTAGAAAATAGAAATCCCTTAGATGCTATACTATAGCATACTATAATAGATTCTTCTCTTGATACTAATTGCCAGATAAGACATTATAATATATTAAATCTAGTCATTAGTGCCATAAACTTTATTTTAGACTGAAGAAGATTGTTGGGGAAAAAACACACGATATGGGTTAAGACCACATCCCTTGACACTTCCCAAGGGAGGAAGAATTTGTAGTTCATAATGACCTATGGTCCTTGGATTAGAATGAAGTATTCCAACCCATCCCACAAGTTTAAACTGTTATACATGAGCTTCCTATGAGGGAGGAAGTGTGAATAACATTCGGCAAGCAACAGCTACTCACAGCCAAGCAGTGATTCCTAAAAAATAAAATCTCATCCAAATGTAATAAAAGATTATTTTTTTTCCTCTTAAGAACCTGAATGATGGCCTGTATTTTCTAAATCACCTCCAGGAAAATAATCTTCATTTTAGAGGATTCTTTTAAATTAGATCTTTAGAGAGAAATAATAAGTAATTACCGCCTTTACTTGAAATGTCCTATGGTCAAAGCATTATCAGAATTTCTTAATTGTAAAAAGACTCATTTAATCCAATTTTGCCACAATATTCTTGAGTGTTTACATCACAAACTATTTATAAAAAAGGCAATATTTGGCCAAAATGAACTCTAGTTTCTGATCAGTTCTACAGTTATTTGAATTAAAAAAAAGTAACATGTCAGAATTATTTTGTCCTTTAAAATATATCTAAATACACAAGTCATTATTACAAACAAGTTTTTTTATATAGAAAATTAATTGAATAATAATAATTGAATCATAATCCCAAAATTTTCTGTTGAAAACCTTTTTTTTTGCTATGTTTGAAGTTATGTTGATGCGCAGAAGTATTTTAAAATTAATTTTATTCTATTTTAGCATAGCGTTATTAAACAGTATGACCCCAGTCTGACACT